GTGTGAAAAAAATGTGCAAATCAACAGTGAACGTGACAAATTTTTGGTACAAAAAGTTTTATTTACTAACAGTTTTTGTAAACATCTGAGGTAAATGGACATTGACATCAACTTGTTCTTACAAAAGAACCATTCATACACAAGGCACTTCTTTAAGACAGTGTCAAGAAAATAAAGTTGAATTCATATATTTTTTTTAGGTGGTTTGTTTAGATGTTACCTTCTCTCCTGACGACCAAAGAAAAACCTTACTCTGTATGAAAATGTTCGGAGGACACTTTGAGACACGGTGGGTTTTGAATGCAACATCCTGTCTGGGCTTCATTTGACGAGTCAGCGGACGATGGATGTGTCCCAAATCAAAGGTGGAAGCCTCGTCACACTGGAGCGTCTATGTCAGTCCTGCCTTGTTGGCTTTTGTGCATGGTGTTGCACCCACATTGTCCCCGACTGAGGCCCCGACCCTGATTTTGGACACAGTCACCATCTTAACAGTGGAATCGTTTGATTCTACAATTCATTAAAATCTGTAAAAACATAATTAAACATAGACCAAAAAATGTTTTTCCCTCTCAGTTGTCCTCCATTTCCTTGTGATAATACATTGTTAAAAAAATGCTTTCTTTTATGAAAAGCATTTTTTAAAGCATTTTTTTTCCTTTGAGGATGACGAAGTGTACTGCAGTTTTGACATCACTCCTTCTTACTACTACTTCTATGAGCGTCAGAAAACAGCAATTTTCCTTTCTAAATGTGCAAAACTTTACCAACCACTAAAATGTAAACGTTAGGAGTAAAAACACATACAGATGTCTTTTATCAAGAAACATTGATTGATTGATTTCCCCAGCGTTTCAACCTTACCTTCAACCATTAAATGCTATCTATGACTTGCTTTGGTTTTTTTTTTTGGCAGGAACATTTGGATCTCTACATCAACAAAAAAAGCTGTGATTTCAGACATCACCGTGAAAGCATGTTCCGTCCGTAACTGTCATTTTGATCTGCAAAGCCCCGGGAGTATCACCGGTATTTCCATCTGGATTTCCATCTCTTGTTGGTGAAACGTACGTAGCATGAAACCAAATTCAATGTTTATTGCTCGCTGAAAAGCTAAGTGCTCGATTTCTGATGAACAAAAACGTGTTTTGAAAATAACCTTCAGATTAGACGCCAAACTATGGAAGAAACTGTTAAAAATGTAACTCAACACAAGTGTAAGTCCGTGTCACTGATTCAAACGTGACTGAAAAATGATAAAGAAGTGTTTGTTTGTTTGTTTGTTTAAAGCAGACTAAAACCACGTGGTAAAACTGGTCTGGCTCAGTGAAGTTCCAAACATTTGAACCCAAACTGTTTCTTTAGCTTCGTGGTTCCCAAACTTGAGGGCGGGCCCTCCAGGGGGCACGGAGCAATTGCAGAAGGGTCCAGCAAGACAAATTAATTTCAATAATGTCTTTTTTTAGGTATGGTAATTGATAAGAATTCTAATTCCGTTACTGCTATTCTGTACCACTGAACTTTTACATGTTCGTTATTTGAACCTTGACAGTTAGAGGGCACTCTAGCTGGCTGGTGTGTGTTTTTTTTTCTTCATTATGCATTTTGGCTGGTGTAACTTATACTCCTTATAGTCCAAAATACGGTACTATATATATATGTAAATATATATATATATATACTACTTGACCTGGAGTTTTATGCCCCCAACAAAGGCACCAGTGTTGGTTTGTTTTCAGCCTACATTCTGTAGCCAATATCTAAACAATTGTTACCTGTTAATGCCATTGTGGTGCTCGGACCAATAGCTTTGTTTTTTTGTGGCCCAGCACTGGGCCAGACCAATTTATCACTGGATAACTGGCTACACATGAACAAAGTACAGTGTACAACAATTCTAATGCCCCGTTCTGTTTGGACATAATCCTGTTTGTCACACCTAGAAGAAGCAGAGAACCAGCGTGGAGTCTTCCTCCTCAAGTCCAGTATGATGCCGTGGGTCCATTTGGTGTGAAGAACAGTGAAGCCATAAGGTCCTGGTTCGGTCCGTTGCCTTGAGAGAAGCCGTCTGACTCCAGGTCATCACATTCTGTGAGTAGTGATTAAGACCGACCCGATAAATAATAATAATAAAATAAAACACACCCTGCTTTGACTTCAACTCACAGACTGCTCTAAACCAACGAAGAACTGCTGATCCAGTCATTTCACATTGACCTTAGTATACTGTAGCTTCTCCTTCTCTGATCTCTGGTCCTCCCACTGGTTCCTCCTATCATTAGTTATTGCTTCCTTCCTAACGTTTCTCGGCACGTTACATTACTGTTTGACAGGGGATGTGGTTGAGTGGTGAAGGCTGTTGGTCAGGGAGGGTTCTAGGGGAACAAGAGAAGGGTTGAAGATCTTCAGACAGCCAGGTCGCTGGGCTTGGTCCTGGTGCTGCCGCTGTTCTTGCTGGCCCGGCTGAGTCGCCGAGGGTCCGTGCTGAACACCGGCGGAGGGTCGTGCAGCTCCACCGTGGTGGTGGTGGCGGTGGAGGTGAAGTAGCCTTTCTGCTCTTCCTGCTCGTTCTTGACTCCGACCCACCTGATGGGGCTGTTTCTTCTGCTGCTGCCGCTTCTGCTGCTGTGAGCAGCGGTGCTCATCGTGTCGGTGATGTTGGTGTTGCTTCTGGAAAGGTGTAGCCCGGCGTCCACGGGCCGCTGCTGGTGATGCTCATTGTTGGTGGAGGAAGACGGGGCCGGGGAAGGTGACGTGGCCTTTATCTCCCGAGTCTGCTGCTCGGTGGCCAGGTTGGCCCAGTTCTGCTGTGTGGCCAGCCTGCAGTTGTTGTGGCTGATGTAAAAATGCGAAGGAGGAGAGGGTTGGCACACCGACTCCTCCTGCTGGAGGTTGTTCATCTTAAACTCAGCTCCTGTCGCTGCAGGCACAACCGCCGCCGCCATGGCTGGTAAAAAGCCGCCCCTCCCTGCCGCACCGGTCGGTGCGTTTGCCGGGCCG